GAGTTCAATCCCCGGTTCCACCAAAAAAAGAAAAGGAAAAAAAAAAAAAAAGAAATATACATAGCATGTGAGGAACTGAAAGAACTTAAGGTTGGAGCAGTAAACTAGTGGCAAGATAGTCATCTATCAAGTTGGATATGTTTGAACCATACAGAGCCTCATACACTTTGTTTTTTTTTTTTTTTTTTTTGCGGAACCGGGGATGGAACTTGGTGCTTGCCAGGGAAGCACTTATTCCACTGAGCCGTCTCCCCGGCCCCCCTCATACACTTTGGATGTGGGAAGTTTATAATTTTTCAGTTATTTGTATAAGATAATTTTGTTACTGTAGAGAAGAATATTTTCTTTTTACAGTTATAAATACTAATATTGTGCAACCTCTTATCTCTTAAATTTCAGCTCAGATACTTTCTCTGAGAAATAATGTCCCTTTTTTGGGGGGGAGGGGACTGAGGATTGAACTCAGGACCTTGTGCTTGCCAGGCAGGCACTTATGCTGCTGAGCTATCTCCCCGGCAAGAAATAATTTCTTACCTGACCCTTCAAGTAAGTCTGGCTTAGGTACGTTCCTGTGTTCCCATAGAAGCCCTCCATACCTTGATTAGAAAACCTAAAAGACTACAATCTGATGGTCTTGTTTCTCTATTTTTCTAAAGTCTCTAATATTCTCATGGGGCAGATAAATTGTTTTCTTTCCTTTAAAAAATTTTTATTTTAAAGAAACAAAGGGCTGGCCTGATAGCTCAGTGGACTAAAGCTTCTGCTTAGGCAGAGCGCAGCGGCTGGTGTTCTGTGCTGGCCCTGCCTCCAGGTATACTGAGATGGTGATTGAGATTGGGTGTGGTGGCATGCCCCTGTAATCCCAGCACTTGGGAGGTTGAACACAGGAGACTCACTACAAGTCCAATCTGCATAGAGAGACCCTGTCGAGCCTGTAGTCCCTGCCCTAAATATAGGAGGAGAAAAAAAAAGAAACCAAAAAACAAATTGTGGCAACACTGATTGGAGGGTTACACTGGTTAGTACATTGTGTATTGTCTTCTTTGTTTTTATTTTTATTTTATTTATTTATTTTTGGTGGAACCAGGGATTGAACTGAAAAGATAATCTATGAGTGAAGTGTGATGAGTCTAATGATTGATCCAATTTGAGAGTGTTTATAGGGGGAATCCAATTGAAGGGGAGCCCAGTGAATTCCTAGAGTTGAAGAAAGATTTTTTTTTTTTTTTTTTGGTACCGGGAATTGAACTCAGGACTTTGTGCTTACCAGGCAGACACTTAGGACACTAAGCTATCTTCCCTCACCCAAAGAGAGATCTTAAAGAGTTCAAATTGGTGAGGGATGGCAGGAAAAGAAATTTAGAGATCTGTATATTTTTAGAGTATGTAACACAATGCTGATTGATATATGCATGAGAAGAAGCCTTCCCAACACCAAAAAGAGCTGTCTTTGAGAGAATGGTGCCTGGTGCTCACACAGGACTTCTTATTGCCTAGACTGAAAGAACCTCTTGTCATGGCTTGCCTGTAGCTGTCCTCCTAAAGCCTCATGAAGTCACAGGTGTGAGGCTTTTTATAGGTGGCTGAATCTAGAGTGTGTGATTGATTCATGGTGCAATACTAGGATTAAGGGTACTAGAATTAAGGTCGGTGATGACTAAATCAGTCCTCTGATTGATTTGGCACTGCCCTAAAAGCCCTGTAGCCTGGTTACAATATAAGGGACAGAAAGAGGTTTGTGTTGCCCCTTTCTTGTTTTGCTGCCTTCTCCCTGCCACTGTACTGTTTCTCCTCTGCTACCCTGCCTTGGAGTCAGCTGACTATGGACTGAAATCTCTGCAAACTGTAAGCTAAGTAAACCTTTCCTTCTTTAAATTTGTGTGTCAGGAGTATCTCAGTAGTGAGAGAAAAGTAATTAAGACAATCTCATACTTCACAGAGCATTAGTTGTAATACTAAGAAGGATCTTGTTTCAGTAGTGGGAATATTTTGCTGTATAGTAAATGTGGCCTTTTCCTGTCCAAAAAAGTCTTAAAGGCAAAGCCTAAAGATATAAATGGTTTCCAAGTGTTTAATATCACTATAGAATAAATCTTAATAATTACAGAAGTACAAAAATATCTATCATCCCCCTAATTTGTATCATTTGGCATCTTTTCACAGATGATCTACCAAGCAGGAAAATACAAACCATGATAAAGAGAAAAATTAGTTAATCTCAGCTGACTTTGAGTAGACAGAATTAGAGAAGCACATTAAGACAGTATAATTGTATTTTTAATGTTCTAAAAATGAACTAGATATATGAAGGATACAAAAGATTGACATAGAGTTTGTGAGCATGAAAACTATGAGATGAAAAATACATTGGGCAGGACTAATAGCAGATCACACATTGCATAAATAAAAATTAATGAACTTGCTCTGGAAATAGCTCAGCAATATAAACACCTACCTGGCAAGTGCAAGGTTGTGAAATCCCTGGTGCCAAAATAAATAAATAAAAAATTAAAAAAAATTAGTGAACTTGAAGCCAAAGCAGTAGAAACTACCACAGTGAAACAACATCAAGGGGAAAAAAGTGAAAGGAAGAAAAGAAAGGAGAGAGAGAAAAAAAAAGGACAGAATGAAGAAAAAAGGGGTGAACTCTGAGATAACTCATATATGTAACTTTTCTTTATCAGCTATTCCATAACTGAATAAAAATATATATTTCCCAGTATAAGGGGCTAGCCAGATAGCTCAGCAGATTAAAGTACCTGTTTAGGCAGACCCAGGGACTGGGGTTGGATCCGTGGCCTGCTATGCTGGTCCCGCCCCTGAGATGGCGCCTATAATCCCAGTGCTTGGGAGGCTGAAAACAGGAGGATCTCTATTAGTCCAATCTGTGTAGAGAGACCCTGTAGACCCTGTACTAACTACATTAAAAATTTTTTTTTTCAGTATAATACCCAGATTATTTTCACACTAAAACTAGAAAAAGACATTATAATAAAAGAAAATCTCAGGCAAATATCCCTCATCAGCATAGATACAAAAATGCTGAACGTTAACGAACGGAATTCAGCAATATACTAAATGAACAAACAAGTCATAACCAAGTATGGCTTTATTCCAGAAGTGCAGTGCAGTGTTGGTTTAAAAACAATCAATTAATTTTGTTTAACAAAAAATGAAAATTATCAGTAGATCTGAAAAAAAAAACCAAAAAAAAAAAAAAAAAAAAACCACTTAAAAATCCGGATTAAAAAACTTTCAGAACAAAAATTTTTTCAGCAAACTAACAATAGGAAGAACTTCTTCAACATAATAATGTCTGTGAAAAACATAAGCATTTTACTTATGGTGAAAGACTCTGAATTCTGTCTTCCTAAAGTATTAAAATGATATAGCTGCTGCATATTGGCCATTTGTCATCTCTGAAGCAATCTCTATTGAAGTCCTTTGCCCACTTGCTTTTCTTTGTCCATTTATTGTTTCTTTCTTCTTTTTCCTTTCCTCCCCTCACAGCCTTTGCTCTGAGCTATGTTCCAGCCCCCTTTAATTTTTTTATTTTGACACATAAGTCTTTCTAAATTGCTAAATTGCCCATGGTGGACTCAAGTGTGTGATTTTTCTGCCTTAGCCTCTCAGAGTCCTGGGATTTATAGCCATGTACTAGCACACTTGGCAAGTGGTTTGTTTTGATGTTGAGTTAAAGTTTTTTATATATTAATATCTGTGTAATAATCTCTTAGCAAATACATGATTTACCAATATTTTCTTCCATTGTATGGGTTGCTTTTCTTTTGTTGATAGTGTCTTTTAATGAGCAAAAGTTTAAAATTTTCATGCAGCCTGTTCATTTCTTTTATTGGGCTTTTGATGTTATATCTAAGAAATTATTTGTGAGCCCAGTATCATGAAAGTTTTCCTTTCAGTTAGCTACTAAGGGTTTTATAGATGTACACATTACTTTTTTTTTTTTGGCAGAACCGGGGATTGAACTCAGACCCTTGCGCTTGCCAGGGAAGTGCTTATTCTACTGAGCCATCTCCCCGGCCCCACACATTACTTTTTAGATTATGGTTACATTTTAGGTTTGTTTTGGGTACATTTTTGTGTTTTTTTTTT